AACCCAACACCAAGGTGATGTGACTATTCTACTGCCTTGGCACTTCCCACAGCAAGCATTATGACATCACTGGGTCTTGTACTCAGGTGGTGTGAATCTTCTCTCTAGCCTTGGCTCTTCCACAGGGGACATTGTGTCATATCACTGGGCCCCACACATAGGTTATGTGACTCTTCTGCCTGTGCCCTGCCCATGTGGGCCATGTTGACATTATTGCTGGGTCTAACACCCAGGTGAGGTAACTCTACTGTCTAGGCCCTGCCTACAGAGGACATTGTGACATATCCCTAAACCCATCACACAGGTAATGTGGCTCTTCTGCCTGCCCCCTGGTCACAGAAGGGATTGTGACGTATTACTGGGCTCACCACCTAGCTAACCTGACTTTTCTCTTCTTCCTAGGTTTTGCCCACAGGGATTACTGTGACATGTCACTGGGCCTAATACTAAGGTGGCATTACTCTTTTGTCATGCCACTGCTCTCAGAAGGTGTGGGGATGCATAGCTGGGCCCAGAACAAATGTGATATGAGACTCCTGCCCGGACCCTACCTACAAGGTATGTTGTGATGTATCTGGGGCCCTTTAACTATTTTATTTTATTTTATTTCAACTTTATTTTTTTATTTTTTATTTATTTATTTTTTTGAGACAGAGTTTCACTCATGTTACCCAGGCTGGAGTGCAATGGCGCGATCTCGGCTCACCGCAACCTCCGCCTCCCGGGTTCAGGCAATTCTCCTGCCTCAGCCTCCTGAGTAGCTGGGATTACAGGCATGCACCACCATGCCCAGCTAATTTTTTGTATTTTTAGTAGAGACGGGGTTTCACCATGTTGACCAGGATGGTCTCGATCTCTTGACCTCGTGATCCACCCGCCTCGGCCTCCCAAAGTGCTGGGATTACAGGCTTGAGCCACCGCGCCCAGCCTTCAACTTTATTTTTGAGACAGAGTCTCCTCTGTCACCCGGGCTGGAATGCAATGGTGTTACGTCTGCTCACTTAAACTTTTGCCTCGTGGGTTCAAGTGAGTCTTCTGCCTCAGCCTTTTTTTTTCTTTTTCTTTTTTTTTTTTTTTTTTTAAAGATGGGGTTTCACCATGTTGGTCAGGCTGGTCTTCAACTCTCGACCTCAGGTGATCCGCCCGCCTTGGCCTCCAAACTGCTTGGATTGCAGGCGTGAGCCACTACGCTCGGCCGGCCTCAGCCTTTTGACTGAGACCACAGGTGTGCACCACCACACCCAGCTAATTTTTTTCTTTTCAGTAGGGAAGAGGTGTCACCATGTTGGCCAGACTGATCTCTCAGACTCCTGACCTCAGCCAATCTGCCCGCCTCAACCTCCCAATGTGCTGGGATTACAGGTGTGAGCCATTGCCCTTGGCCCCCTTTGACTATTTTACATGACTCTTCTCTCTTACCTGGATGTTGCCTAAAAAGAGATTATGACATATCTTTGGGCCCAGCACCAAGATGATGTGACTCTCCTCTCCTGCCTGTACCTTGCCCACAGAAGAGAGAGTGATTTATTGCTGAGATTAGCATACAGGTGATAGGATTCTTCTGCTGGCTCCCAGAAGCCACTGTAACATATATCTGGACCCATCAATGAGATTGTGTGACTCTCACTGCAACCTTGGGCTCCCAGAGTGATTCTCTTGCCTCAGCCTCTCAAATAGCTGGGATTACAGGCAATTACCACCATGCCCAGCTAATATTTTAAGTAGAGATGGAATTTCGCCATGTTGGCCAGGCCGGTCTCAAACTCCTAACCTTAAGTGATTCACCTGCCTCAACCTCTCAAAGTCCTCGGGTTACAGATGTGAGTGACCATGCCCAGCTGATTCGACTCTGTTATTTGGACCCCCTTCTTGGAATATTGTGACATATTGCTGGGCCCAGCATCTAGGTGATGTGACTCTTCTCCACTGTTTGATCTCTGCCCAAAAAGGGATTGTGACGTATCACTGGATCAAGAAACTAGATGAGGTGACTCTTCTCTCCAGACTGGGTTCTGCACACATTGTATATTGAGATATATCACTGGGTCTATCACTGGGCCTAGGACCTAGGCGATGTGACTCTTATCCATGGGCTCTGTGTACTGGGGTGTTTGCTACACATACTGGGCCCTAAACCCTAGGTCA